ATTATGAGATTTTGAATATTATAAATACAAAATATTATTTAAATTTCATGAAAGTAATGTCATCATATTGTGAGCAAAACATTATTGCATATTCAATTATATATATATATACTTATACACACATGCATATATACACATACATACTGTATATACATATACATACCTATATACACCTACACACCCAACAAACACACAATACATACATATATATATATATATATATAATGAATATATATATATATGTATATATATAATGAATATATATATATATATATATATTATACCATTCTTTTTTATATCAATTTATCATTTCACATTAAATACAATTTCTGATATCAGACTTTTTCAATATATAATGTAATATAAGAAATACAAATACATGTCACTCACTTTTGATGTTATTCTTTGACTATGCAGTACAGTAAACATATTTAAAGGAACAAAACATGTTTTACATGGTGGTCACCATGAAATTTAATATGGCTGCTAAATGACCTTGACCTAAAATGGCTGTCATAATGACCTCTGATGAAATAGTTCCTATCAAAAATTGTATTTTGTGAGCTTATGTATGATTTTGCTGTAAAACACGACCACTTACAAACTATTAAGATATTCTACGTATTTAACAGATAAATGAAATTGAATGACCATCTGACCATGTCACAAGTGCTATAAATCCTTGACCATGAAAATATATTTTTAGACATCATAATTCTTATTGGAAGTTGTTTAAAAGCCGATATATTGATAAATATAGGTTTTGCGTGGCAACCATTTTGAAATTTAAGATGGCCGCCAGAATGACCTCGAATGAAATATTGTAGTTCATAGTAAAAATTTTGAATTCTGAGAGCCTGGGTATGATTCTAATGTAAAATTTGACAATTACGTAATATTAAAGATACCATACAATATTTGACCTTGAATGACCTTAAATGACCCATTTGTGGAAATCTGACCAGGTCAAAAATGATATGATGGTATTCCTCGATCATATAAACATACTCTTAGAAATTAGAATTATAATTCAAAGTGATTTAGAAGCGGAGATATAAATAAACATAGGTTTTATAAGGCTACCATTTTGAAATCCAAGATGGCCGCCATAATTACTTCGGATGAGGTGGTTCCTACCAAAAATTGAATGCTATGACCATATGGAGCATGTAAAAAAAATTGGTGCTTTTGTCCGGAACGTCCACATTAAGTCCAAATATGGCCCTAAGCTGCCGTACTATATATACAATATCAGGATTAAAGTTAATAACATCAATTTGGTTGTGAGCGCCGACACGGACATTGTTATCCGACCAATCTGACCAATAAAGTGTGGTAGGATTACTAAAGCAACTTTTAAAGAACGAGTTAAATGTTTTAGCCTAACATTTTCTTAAAAAGTTCAGTTTTGGGGACTGTTTTTGTAATTTTTTTAATGTATATATCAGATGGGATTGCTTTAAGTTCGTTATGCGATTTGTATAGACCTATTATAATAAAATCGGTAGAGGGCGTTGTGTACATACAGGTAACTAATGCAATAAAGAGTATAGATTTTTTTTAGTATCATTCGAAGCGCACGTTTAATTGTTCTCTTCAACATAGTAAAAACTCTTCAGTCCCCATTGAGGAAAAGGTTATAATCGCTTTAGGCCTCATGAGTTCAAGCATTATGATATTTAATGCAAACCGGGGGTTGGTTTGTTTATAACAAAGGTATAAGATCGTTAAAAGTCTGCTATATTAATGCCCTTCGTTTATTACT